TCATTATTGTAAGAATAAAATAACAATTTATTGATTCCAAAAGAATATGTAGGAATGAGGCAATACCACTCTTTCTGATGGAAGCATAGAATTCCATTTTGAATATCACATTTTCTTGATCCATTCATCCACTGAGGGGAGTCTGGGTTGATTCATATATCTTAGCTATGGGAAACAATGCTGCAATGAAATGGTTATGCTTTGGATAAATGTTCCATTCATACAGAAATGGAAAGACGTGGAAAAATTATATTAAGTGAAGTAAATCAGACCCAAAGAAACATAGGTGGCATGTGTTCTCTCATTTGTAATAATTAGAATGTGCCTATAAATCTACAAGTAACGTTAATGGATAATAAAAGACAAAAATTTACAATTGGGCATGATTAACTAAACAGGACTATAAACAGTCACACAGTATGACCAAAGGAAGATATTCCTAGGAGAGGATCACAAGGGCTTAATAGCTATGTGCATATGATTATATAAATTATATTTATTGAAATCAACTCCCAGAAATGGAAACAAGGGTTTTTTAAAAAAAATTGTGCTGTTTGTGGTTCTCTATTTTTCTTCTGTTTTTTTTTTTTTTTCCTTTTGCTGCTGGTTTTTATTTCTGTACCCTTTGTCTTATATATAAGTTTATCTGGTTGGGGAGGGGAAAGGGAAGTGCAGAAATGATGGGACAAAGGGCGAACCAATTTAGTAGTGATATTCACTACACATTATGTTGGAAATGAACTAAACAACCTTTGTGGGGCAGGGAGGTAGAAGAGGAAAACAAGTGACACTGTTCAAAAAGAAATGTACTCAATACTTGACTTATGTAACTGTAACTCCTCTGTACATTACTTTTACAACAATAAAAAATTTTTTTAAAAGAATACTTAGTAGTCTGGGCCCTTGATTAGCACTCTATTATAAGTGGCTTGGGTTGACATGTGTTGTTGAATGGTTGTTTGGGGCAACTTGTCTGGAAGGTAGTGAAGTCTGGGCTAGGGAATATTGTAATGAGGGAATCATCTTCCGGGAGGGTAACAAAATTTGGGCTTCAAACCATGTAGTCAGTCTAATTAGTGGTTGGTTTCAAATTAATGATCCATCTTGTCAGCTTGGGTAGAAATCTTCCCTCTTTACTGGAAATCTGGTAGGTGGCAGAAAAGAATCCAGATTAAAAAAAGAATAAAGGGATGGGAGGAGAGTGTGCCTCGAGCATTGCTCGGGCTGGGGCATACCTGAATCCTGAAAAGTACACCTGAACATAGGAGGAACTCTCATTTCCAGAATTTTCCACCATGCTCACTTTCCTATGATTCTTGGTCCTATTCCAGCTGTCTCAGTGCACCTTTATACAGGTGTGATCTCTGCCTGTCTGTGGAGGAAGACAATGGAATCTGAGAAGTCAACTGAGGTGAAGGCTGGGCTACTCAACAGAGTCTTAAACAAGAAAGAAAAAGGGAAAGGGAAAGCATGCATTCTTTCCCAGGAATCTCTGGGACTGCTTTGTCGGTGTGCTAAACATTGCCTGGGCATCTCAGCTACTGCTGGGCAGCTGTCTGTATTCCCTTAGTTCAGGTACAGGAAAGTCAGTCCTCGGTCAGTAAGGGAAATAGTCCTTACTTAAACTCGCCATTTGGCTTGATTTCTCTCCTTGAAACAAACCCTTCACAGCCTCAGTGTGGAGAATTCTCTAATTGAAACAGGTCATAACATGGGGAAAAAAATAAACAACTTTTGCAGTTCTTCCTTTCTTGTGGTCTACAAGTCAGTTCCAAGTCACTCACCTGCACATTAATTGGTGCCACTCTTTGCCAAGCAGGTAACAAGAGTACAGGGCATATTCTCATGGCCCATTAGCTGCCTAGAGCTTAATTAGAAGGTTCTGCAGGAAACCACAGCACTGTTTCCAGAATCCATACTGGCTCAGAAGAGGGATCCTTAAACAGCTTGTGTCAGGAGGCAGGAACATCCAGGGAAACTTCCCCGATTGACAGCACCCCAGTTGCTCTGAAGAGTTAGAAGTCTTGTTAATCAAGTGTTAGGTTGGCATCTTAGATTTCCCAGAATTGCTTAGTGGACGTATTTTTCTCTCAATCTGGAATGGTGGCAATAAGACTCAACAAGGTCAGCCCAGTTAAATACATCCTCGCTTCCACAGTTCCGCTGGGACCCAGTTCAAGTCCTTCCATACTGCTAAGCTTCTCAACTATAGATGATAGAACTCATATGTCTTCTCTTGGGAATTATTTGAAGCCAGATAGTTAGGTTTTTTTCCCCATATACTTTTTGATCACTCACAAGTATGTTCTGCATGCCAATTATTTTTTTGCCTCAATTCATCTGAGAGTAGAATTTATGTGTGTGTAGGGGGAGGGGAGTAGTTACCAATGATCTCTCTTGTGCATGTCCTTGTGGTTGCTGAGTTAGGAAGACTTAGCTAGATCGGGGTCTGGTATTCACAATATGACTTTGTGTAAATTACCTGATCTCCTTGACCCATTTCTTGATCCATATTGTAGTAGCAGTAGGCTTTATCTCATGGAATCATTGGCATGATTAAATGAGGCGTGAGGTCTGTGTGCTTAGCACAGGACTGGAGCTGCCACATGTCCTTGAGATAAGTTTTATTGAAGGTTTAAAAGAGACATGTGCTCAGGCTGGGAAGGTGGCTCAGTGGTAGAGCGCTTGCCTTGCATGCCTGAGGCCCTGAGTTCGATTCCTCAGCACCACATAAGCAAAAAGAAAAAAGCCGGAAGTGGCGCTGTGGCTCAAGTGGTAGAGCGCTAGCCTTGAGCTGAAGAGCTGAGGGACAGTGCCCAGGCCCAGAGTTCAGGCCCTACAACCAGACCCCCCCCTCAAAAATAGACATGTACTTTCATCTGATTCCATCCCTCATTTCTACCTGTCTACCTATTTGACCAAGTAATTTGCCTCCCCCTTCCTTCTTTTCTCTTTTATTTTATTGCATAGATTTTATTATTAAATACTGAAAAAACAGAAGAATATCAATTATTCACAAGGGATAAAGACAAATGATATGAACATTTGAGATAAATTTTTAAGAAAGAAACAAAATGGAAATAAACATGTACTATTCTGTCCATAAGGAGAAATCGTGGATTAAACCTCTGGCATTGTCGTAGGGAATTCACATTTCTCTAAGCAAAGTAATAAGGGAAGAGAAATAGAAAATTGATTTCTCACAAATGGAAAGTTTAACCATCTCCTCCTTTATAAACAGCCACAAGACCTCTCTCCAGTGCTTACATAACCTGGGTTATTTGTTCAAGTTATCTCAGAGTAAAACTTTTTTATTTTTAATCAAAACTGGTAGTGATAGAATTTGGGATTAGACATAGGATGCTGCTGCATTTCTCTCTCAATATTATTAATGTGTGCTAACTTCATAGGCATTGAAATGTGGGAACCAACTCCATAACAAAATGGGCACTGGAGAAAAGGAAGATGTGGTTTTAGTTGCCCCGATTGAGTGCATGACGCAAGGCCAAGGAGAGTACCATGTAGATGCTTCAGGAAGCAAGACCACAATGAGCAAGTAGAAGTTACAGAGGCAGGTGTCAGCTCCAGATAGGAGAGAATTTCACAGCAGAACAAGATACCCTGTGGGTTGGTGATCATCACTAGCCCACTGGAAGCATTCAAGTTCATAGTGAATGGTCATCACCAATGATTAGCCTGGGAATGTGATGTTTTCCACTTGATTCTTAAGTTCTGTCCATGCCTAGACTAGAGGCTGTAAATTAGGGAGAGGTAGGATGTGGAGGTAGCTGTCTTCAAGACTGGGTCACTGTCTGTCCATCAAACCAGGCATCTTTCTGTACTTACTCATCTGGTCAGTTCATTTTTCTCAACTATTTAGATGTTTCTGAGCCCACTGAAACTTTTCAAATTTGCCTTCTACTTGGTTAGGCATATCCTTTCCAATGGGTGATGCAATACCTTATTATATCTGGCTTTTCTATAGACCTTTATCAAATTAGGATGTGATCCTTACAGTATTCTAGGCTTTTTTGTTGCTGTTAGTCATGGGGCTTGAACTCAAGGCCTGAACACTGTGCCTGAGCTTTTTTGGTCGTTTCCCATTTTCTGGTGGTTAATTGGAGATAAGAGTCTCATGCAGAAGCTCTTCAGTTTGATGTGATCCCATTTGTCCAGTCTTTCTTTGGTTTGTTGTGATTCTGGATGCTTTACTTAGAAAATTTCTAACCATGGTTAGAAGGTCTAGTGTTTCCCCTACCCATTCCTGTAATATTTTCACAGTATCCAGACTTACATTGAGGTCTTTGATCCATTTAGAATCGGTTCTGGTTCAGGGTGATATATGAGGATCTAGCTTCAGTTTTCTGCACAAGTGTAGTCAATTTTGCCAGTACCATTTGTTGAAGAGCCTGTCTTTCTTCCAACCTGTGTTTTGGCTCCCTATCAAATATTAGGTACTTACTATATGTTTTGGGGTTATTTCTGGATCAAGAAAATGTGGTAATGTGTGTGTGTGTGTGCACGTGTGTGTGTGTCTGTGTGTGTAATAGGATTCTACTTATCTCTCAGAAAGAATAGAATTCTACTTGTTTCTCAGAAAGAATAGAATTCTACTCATCTCTCAGAAGGAATGATATTGTACCATTCATAAGGAAATGAAAGATTTGGAAAAAAATTATACTGAGTAAAGTAAGTCAAATCCAAAGAACCATAGGTTACAATGTGCCTATAAATCTACAAGAAAACACTAAATGATATATATATTATATCTATATTTTATTATAAGTACTTAAAAAACTCCCTGAAAGATTCAAATTTGAATTATTTTGTTAATATTTACTTAATTTGATCTTTTCTATTCCACTCGTGTCTAAGAACATTTCCCTCATACATGATTAGACATACGTTAAACTTATCCCCTTTGCATATGTACAAAATAAGTGGATAATACAGAATATGTGAATATAGAGGTACCCTACTATCATCTATTTAATATTCAGACAGTGACACCAACCCTAAGAAGCAGGAGCTACAGCGAGAAAAGTGGGAGAGGAGCCATTTGCCAAGCAAAAGCCTCTCTCGGCGCTCCATAAGCAAGGAAAGATGGGTGGAGACTCTGGTTGTGGCTGACACGAAGATGGTTGAATATCACGGGGGTGAGAATGTGGAGTCCTACATCCTAACCATCATGAACATGGTATGTGGAGACTATATGGGGGAGGGCAGCTGGTGAAGAAATCTCATGGAGATTCTCTCATGTATATATATATATATATATATTTAAAATTAGCTGTTGGTGGCTTGTACTTCTATTCCCAGCACTACGGATCCTGGGAAAATTGCAAATTCAAGGCCAACCTGGGCTTCATAGTAAGGCCCTGGTTCAAAACCAGGAAACAAGTAGGGCAAGAGGAGGAAAGTAAGTGTTTTGTCTTTTTAACACATAGAAACGTAGATGTACATTCGCACCTATATGAGTCTGTGAGTCTGTTCCCTGCCTAACAGTGGCAAGACCAATTAGTCTGTCTTTAAAGATGTAAATCCAGGGGAAATTTGGTAATTTGTCATTTGCTATTTTTATCAGGTATTTAGTAAGTGAGGCATTACCAGCTGATATTAGTATACCAACAAGTACATGGAGACAAAAGAATAGAATATGATTCTAGAATTTCAGTCTCTAATTTCTAGAAGTGAAACCTCTAATTTCAAGGTTCTTTTTGGTGTTGTTGATATGTTTTACCATCCCAGAGAGGGTGCTTAACTTGTTGTGATGGGAAAAGGTACTTTCTTGAATAACTAATCATGAAAAGGAAAGACCCTAGGGAAAGGGTCAAAGAGAAGCTAGAGAAAGGGTCAAAGAAAAGAAAGGCATCAATGCTCACACTGCAGTCAATCATCATGAATGAGTCTTTAAATCTTATGTGGCTTGAGATTCGCTCTTCTTTGGATCACACAGAAGAATTTGTGCACTAGAAAACAATGTTTAAGTATGTTACAACCCATTATTTTCCTTGGGCATAGATATATGGTATATTCATGTCAAGCTAATAATTTTCTGTGTTTGATTCCAGGTCACTGGATTGTTTCATAACCCAAGCATTGGTAATGCGATTCACATTGTTGTGGTTCGGCTCATCCTCCTTGAAGAAGAGGAGGTAAGGAACAATTTTCCCTTTTCTCCAGTCTTTGGGTCAATATTTCACATTTCTTATTTTTTAGGAGAGCTCTTGATAAACATGAAAGAGCTCTCCAAATAGATGTTTAGAATCCCAGTGTGAAGGAAGATACTATTTCTGTGTTATTTTCTTGGGAGTCTATCCATAATGAGTGAGAACTGGAGAATGTTTCCAAAATATACATCATTGAAACCATCTGATTTTCATTGCAGCTGGCATTGTCAAAACAAGGCTTACATAGAGAGGTCACTAAGAATGTCTCCCAGTGGAAATAAAGTAACCTTATTCTCACTTTTCCCAACTATATATGTGCTGAGATTTCCAATTGATACCTGAAGCCCAGATCTCAGGTCTCTTCCTAGAGCTTCCAGCTCATGTTCATATGCTTACTTGGTAGCCTGAGTTGGATGTATCATAGAATTCACTCAGTCTTGAAACCTTAAATCCAAAGTGGAATTCTTGATTACTTCCTTTTGTATCATCTCAAGTTTTCCTTCCATTCTTATTGTATTCATTTCTGTAAGTACTACTAATCTACTATTAATTTAACCAGTTGTGTCAATATAGGAGTCATTCTTGATTTTTTTCTCATATCTTTCAAATTCAGCATTGGTCCTGGCCCACTGTTTATTGTCTCTTCAGTCATTTCCTTGGTGTAGGTCTTACCATATTGCAGCAACCTTCCCAGTGCTTTTCCTATTTTTCAGCTTTGCCTCCAAAATTCACTGTCTATGAATCATTATTTAAACTATAGATATAGTGGATCACCTTAAATAGAAAGCTTCTCAACTATGAAAACAATAATAAAACTTTAATAGCATTCTGTTTCTTTTATAATAAACTTAAATTTCTCTTGAGTCAGGAGAGGTTTTCATGATGTTACATGAGACATGATGACATTGTTTTCATGATGTTGTTCCCATTAACTTTGGCAGTCTTTCCTTGCTCTCTGGTCTTCTCTATTCAGAATTCAGATTTTTTAAATGTCATATATAGAGACCGGCAACAGCAAAACAAAACTGATGTGAGTGGAAGTGGCAGCTTTTGATTGGCTACCATTTCTCTTGTCTCCAGTTTAATAATTTCCTTTCTATCACAAGATTACTCTTTCTCCCACTGTGGTCCAAAATCAGCAATGTGTTCATTGTCCTTCATATACTAAGTGCCAGATTTAACACAAAATCAGTGCTCATGTAGGTGTCTCTACTTGGGATGGGATAGCCTTCCTCACCTACTGACTCTTTCTTCTCCAAAACCTTTCCTATACCGGATATATATATATATATATATATATATATATATATATATATATATATATACTTTATACTCATGACAATTTCTTTTTCATTTCTCTGCTTTTGTCAGTAGATGCCAGGTTCTTCAGAGAGTAGATCGGGTATTGCATATCAGAAGAACTGATAAGGTTCTTGAGAGATTGTGTGGGCAGGACAAGCTTTCCTCTGGAAAACTCTGGATGATACGAATAGACAAATGAGATGGAGAGGAAGGCATTAGAGAGAGGAAGGCATTAGAGAGGTCCCCTGGGGGCTCTGGAAAGGGATGTGTGGTAGGGAATTCCTAGGCAGATTACTGGGGTAGGTCTCCACCAATGATTTTCTGTAACTCTTGTCTTTTGTTTTCTAATCTCATCTGGCCACCAATACTGCTTTGGACTTTGTTTGCGTGTATAGGCTCAAGAGGCTTTGAGATTAAACTACATACATAAAATGCAGCCTTAGTTACTGCCATGTAAGAACACTATAGATTTTCATTATATCTGAGGATAAATTGGTTAACTAGAGTACATGCAGTCGTTCTGAAAGACAAGGTAACAGACATTCAGAGTGTTGGAAAGTACTATACAAAACCGTGACTAGGAAGGATAAACCAAACATACTGAGGCTCCAAGGACCAGGAAATCAAAGTGGCTTCAGACATAAGTCAGTTTATGCTCTCCTCCTGCCTCTCTCTCACCTGCCCAAATCCTACCTTTCCAATGTTTCATTCTGCTCAAGGTCTAGGACACTAAGGCCCTTTCACGTCAGTACTATTTATTCAGTGGCCTTTCTTTCAGTCATTGATTGGAATTAGACTCTTCCCTTGAACTTGTGTGTGTGTGTGTGTGTGTGTGTGTGAGTGTGTGTGTGTGTGTGTGTGTGTGTGTGTGTGTGAGAGAGAGAGAGAGAGAGAGAGAGAGAGAGAGAGAGTGAGGGAGAGAGATGGTCCTTAGGCTTGAACTTGGGCTGGGCACTGTCCCTGAGTGTTTTTGCTCAAGGCTAGCACTCTACCACTTGAGCCACACCTCTACTTCCCTCTATTTTAGGTAGTTAACTGAAGATAAGAGTCTCACAAACTTTCCTGCCTGGGCTACCTTGGAACCATGGTCTTCAGCTCTCAGCCTCCTAAGCAACTAGGGCAGTGCCTGGCTTCCCTTCAACTTTCATAAGTCTAATACTGTGGCAAGTCGAGGATTTGTTTGTTCCACTATTTTCTAGCTTTCTGAGCTGGTTATATCTCTATGCCTCTATTCCACCACTTTGTGAAATGAGAGAAATAATATCTGCTCCATAGGGTTGCTGTGAGAATCAAATGTGTTAGTACACATTGATATAGTTTCTGGTTTCTATAAACCACTCAGCTAATGTTGTTTGTTAGTATTGCTTTTATTGTTATCATTGCTGTCATCATCATTATTTAGTTTCCACAACAGCCCCACAAACTTGTTACTATATTACTAATTTTCAAAGACTTTAAAGCCATTGAAAGTGATACCAGAAAAGTACAACAACTAGATCAGGTCCTTTGTCTATATGGTCCCAAAGAATGAGTCCACAGACATAGAGGGAGAAGAGAAATGGCAAAGATTTATTGAAGAAAAAGATAAACAGATCTCTTAGAGGCCTCTTTTAAAAAGAAGCTAGAAAGTGTATGGGTATGGCACAATGATTGAGCACTTGTCTAGCATATATAAAGCCCTGGATTGGAGCACTAGAATTGGAATGGGAGGTAGGATAGAGATAAAGATGGGATACAAGTGAGTCGGATGAAATTGAGCCTACCCCAGGTAGTTACAGTGTCCAGGACTGGGGCCTGGGGGCATCAGTCTGGCTTGAAGGAACAGAAGTATGGATCAGAAGCAAGAGGAAGATGGCTGACCTCATGGAGAATTTCCTCCTGATCTACTAATTGGCTTAGTGTTAGGTTCAGTCTGCAGTTAAAAACCAGTTGATTTTAGAAACTGAGGAGCTTGGTTTCCATTCTCATCCTTCTTGCTGATATGTAGGCCTGCAAGAACCTATCTAATTAATGTTTTTGAAGGATAAATGCAAAAAAGTTTTAGACACATTCTTTCAAAAAAAAAAAACTACCAGAGTAAAGCATGCTTGTGCCTTAGGCTTTCTGCTGCTTTCCTGGTAGCTTTCTTTCAATAGCCTAAGGCTGGCTGCTACCCAGAATTCCCAGAGAAATCAATACAAGATATTATAAGGAGAGTACACAAAGGGAACAATTTATAACAAAAGTCATGTTCTTAAAAATCATTTCCTTTCTTGCATTTGTGTCTATTTCCATGAGCTGCAGCTAATTTTTTCAGGTCAGCTTCCTGTCCTATAAGGTCATATACTCAAATGTATAGGAAAGTGAAGTGGGAAATGAATTAGGTTGAGAAGATGGGGTGAGAAAAAAATGAATAAGTGCAATATCTATTTTTGCTTTCAAAAGAAACAAGGAAAAACTGGATGAGGAGTTTATTTTGACAAACTGAAATAATGATCAAGCTGTTTTATGGAAATGCTGAGCACAGTCTTTGCATATCTTTTAGGAGACAGCATAACCTCTTTGAAGTCCTTTTGTATCTTGTATGCTTAAGGCCATAGAGTTAATAGTTTTAACCCTTGCCAAGGCTAAGAATACACTTCACCAAGTGCATTTGAGAAGCTAAATGACCAAATATCCTTGGATTTAACATCTTGTATGACTTAGAAGTCAAGTGGTTATGGGAACAAGGAAAATAATTGTGCTCCTTCCTTCTGAAAGCACTTTCTCCTGGAAGAATGTGACATTTACTACAAGGTGGAAAGGTACCCTGTAGTCACTGAACTTGTGTTAAAGGTCACATGGTGCAGATGGCAGTTCTATGTGTGCAAAGTATCCCAATGCTACGATTAGAAACACAGTTCAGGTTGTGCTTGCTTTGTCTGGAAGAGGAGCCTAGAAAAAAGTGGAAAGAAAGCAAAAAAGGTTTTGACAGTAGATTTTAGGCTGCAAATATGTGTGCATGTACATGTACATACACTTGTACGTGAACATAAAACTTATACACATACGGATACATATACATTTCTCATCAATGAAGATCCCTGAAATTTTTTCAGAATTGTTCTTAGGGATATTATGGAGAGTTAGGAAGAAAGAATAATTCCTCTGTTCCTTTCTTTCTATCTATCTAGCTACTTTACCTATCTATCTATCTATCTATCTATCTATCTATCTATCTATCTATCTATCTATCTATCTATCTATCTATCGTCTGTCTGTCTGTCTGTCTCTTTGTCTGGTGGTAATGGGATTTGAGCTCAGGTCTCCCAAGTTGTTAGGCTGGTGCTCTACCACTTGGGACACATCTTCAGCCCTATTTTTTCTAGTTATTTTGGAGAGGAAATCTAGTAAACATTTTTGTACAGGCTTACCTCAAACTGTGATCCCCCAGACCGCAGCTTCCTGTATAGCTAGGATTAGAGACATGCGCCACTGGCACACTTTGAGCTTCTTTGCCTTTGAGCTTCTCTCTTTCTCCTTGCTCCTTCCTCAATAGTCCTACTGCTAGAAAATCTCCATAGCCATGTAGACCTGGCCCATATAATTAGAGACCCCAAACCTAACTGTTTGATCCCCTGTTCCCTATTCTCCTCTTTATTTCTGTTAAGAACTAGATAGGGCCTGTTTGCAGGCTAATATGTGATGATGGATATTATGCTTAAAGAATAAATGAGACTCTTGGATGAGAGTCAGAGAGCTCACCTCAGTGTATGAGGTGAGTTTCAGAGGCAGCCCACATGGATGCTGTGCAGACAGTGCAAAGAAGCCCTAACATAAGCAAACCTCAGTTTTTTAAAGTAAGCAAACTTAACCTGATTTTTGCCCCAGGAGGGAGCAATCACTTCATTTGTTCTGAACTGTAAAGGAATCATCCACCTTCTCTAAGAAGGCAACTGCAAACCAAGACTGTTTGCTGTGTAACATACTTGAGAAAAGCAAGCTGTCAGCAGCCTTGCTTAGGTTATGTACAGAAACACAGGAAACCTGTGGGGAATCTACCACCCACTGTTCCTATTACAGAATGGATTATTATTACAGATTTTTCCATTTGATCCTCAAACTTCTTACCTTGCTGCTAGTCTTTCCTGTATTCCATAGATGTTGCCTCTTACTGACTCACACAAAATCCTACATAAATCCAATCTTCACTTTTTTCCTGGCTCAGTCAGTCCATATATTCTCCAGCTTTTCTTCATTCCACCATGGGTGGGTGATGTACGGCTTCAGTTTGCACGTGTGTATCAGGACATGTGGGATGTCTGAAAAACGAGAGAAATAGAACTCCAGGATTGGTCCTAGGGATGTTGAGAAGAAAAGTAGGCCCCAATTTTGATAGACGAATCTTGTAAAGCACGTGCTATGAACCAAGTGTGTGCAGGATAAATTAACAGCAATTGGAGAGGGGGACATGGAAGGTGTCCTGAGTTTTACAGGAGTGGAAGTTGAACAGATAACATGGAGGGAGAAGAGAAAAGTGTCTTAGGAAAAGGATTCTTTTAAAGAAAGAAAGGGGGAAAGCAGCACAACATAAACTGGGAAGTTGCAAATGATAGAAGAACTGTCTGGATGGGGTTGGAGGTATGGCTCCGTTGGCAGAGCACTAGCCAGTGAGTAAAAGCATTAGGTACCAAGTACCAGGTGTGGACCAAAAAAAAAAAAAAACTGTCTGGAGGCTCAGATTTTGTTTTTCCTAGAAGTTGTATACCTTTCCATTTTGTATTTAAATGTGTGGATCATTTTTAGTTTATAGTTGCATCATGTAGAGATTTAGACTGAAGGGCATTTTTCTCCCCTCTTAGTTTTTGGCCTATGACTATCTAGTTGCTTACCTATTCATTCATTCATTCATTCATTCACTACCTAAATAGGCAAATCAGTACACTCTGTGGTAGTACTATGTTTGTATTAAATTGGAGCAATGTCTTCAGACACGATCCTGCAGAGTATGAATGTTCAGCCCCAAACCAAGATTGAAAATAATGCAAATAATGACTCAATATCGTTATTTGAGTCTTTCACTGCAGATTTCTTTTTTAATGTGTTTTTTTGTAAAAATACTGTACAGAGGGGTTACAGTTACATGAGCAAGGTAATGAGTACATTTCCTATCAAGCATTGTTGCCTCCTCCTTTGTTTTTCCGCTACCATCCCTTCCCTCCCACCTCCACAACTACAGTCCCCACTCTTCCACCCCTCACCCTTCCACCCCCTCCCTCTGCCCCCGCATAAATTGTAAAGTTCGTTTTTCAACATAGTGCCTTGTATATCTCATTGTTACAGTGGGCCAACCTGTATTCCTATTTAAGCATTTTTTTTCCCTTTCACACTCCAAATTAGAGAAGTATATAAACAAGATGCAGGGCACCAACATCAAATACAATGAAAACAGGGGTTGTACTGTGGGGGAGGAACATACAAAGAAACAAAAAAATCACATGATACATTATAAATACGTTAAAAACAGTAGCAAGAAAGAAAAAAACCACTTGTGTCCCTGTCTTGGGGTTCATTTTACTTAACATCATCTTATCTGGTCATGTGTACATAGCTTTTGACCTTTTCTTCTTGTCCCAGACATAAACTCGTTATTGCAAATAAGGGAAACCATGGGACCTATGTTTCTTTGGGCCTGGCTTGCTTCACTTAATATAATTTTTTCCAAGTCTTTCCATTTCCTAACAAATGGGGCAATGTCATTCTTTCTGATGGAGGCATAGAATTACATTGTGTATATATACCACATTTTCTTGATCCATTCACCTACCGAGGGGCATCTGGGTTGGCTCCATATCTTAGCTAATGCTGCACTAAATATAGTTTTGTTGATAATTTTAGTATGGTCTTGTTTGTGATCATTTGGGTAAATGCCCAAAAGTGGGATTGCTGGGTCATAGGGGAGCTCTATGTGGAGTCTTTTGAGGAACCTCCATACTAGTGCAGATTTCTTAATGCAAGACTTTTGATTTTCTTTCAGTATTAATGATTACATTTTGACCTTCAGCTTAATTCCAAAAATGTAGAATAAATGTTATATTTGTAGAAGTTAAAGCTCAACTAGCCTATAATTTAAAAAAGCACATACAGAATGCTGCCCAAATGAATGTGTTCTTAAGCCATGGTATTTGCATTTTAAACACACATAATATAATTGCATATCCAGTATGATGTCCAGGGTTCACATGAGTAATTAGCACATGATTTACTGTAGAAAGTGTCACTAGTTGGGTCTGGTTCAGGTAAGAGCTTGCCATCGCTTGTGATGAGGCCAAGGCCAAGAACTAGGCAATGTAGCTCTTGCAGCATATAAAAGAAAGTACTGTGGTAGAAAACAAAAGAAAAAGTGGAAGAATAAAGATTATTCCTCTTTTTGGAGATCAATTGTAGAAACAACCATAAGAACTGTAAACTGTTTTGATTCTTTGAACACATAGCCATGTCCAATTTCTTTTATTCTAAAGGTTATATCCACTAATATTGACTATAGATTGTCATTTTTCTATTATCCAATGAATGTAAATTCCTGTTCTTGGGCTTGTTTCAAGTCTTTTTCTTAAGACATATATTTCATTATTGTTTTGGTCTGGATACCTTTTATTTTGAACTGTTTTCAGTTTCTGTCTCTAGCTCCTTAATTAAATAAAAGGAGAGCTAGTATTGCTATTGAATAAAGCTGTTTGTCACTGAACATCTTGGTATAAAGACTGAGAAAGTTACAAGTTCAACCTGACTTGAGGGCAAGGAGGAAGAGCAAACCTGTCATCTATGAAAGGCTAAAAGAATATACCAAGACCTTTTAAAACCATCGCCCACATCTCTCAGAACACAAGCATCATTACCTCTTGGTGCCTGGAGTGAGAATTTATCATGTTGACCTTGCTTCCTAGTATCTTAAACACAGTAAAACAAATGCTGGGGCGATAAGTTATTGAAGACAAGTGCAGTAGACCGTGACATTGAATAGAGAAAAGTCTTTCAAGGAAATCTTAAGGATTTCTGAAGAGTTCCTTTGAGCTTCCTTATCTTGCTTCTAATTGATAGAATTGTGACCTTTTAGCAGTTGCCAAGTGCCAATCCAGTTCAAATGACAGATTCCAGGAGAATATGGCTGAGAGCTAAGAACTCTCATCTTATCTATCTTTAGTAGATGCTGTCTTTGGTTTAAACAGGGCTATAATTCACAGGCAGGAATAGGTATGTAGAAGCATGCTAGGTATTCTTGCATATCTAAAGAGACTTGATAAGTTTTTAGGTTATTTCACCTTAGTCATTAGTAAGGTTGAATATTGACCTATCTACCACCAGAAAAGGTAGTTATAGGGAAAAATAGTGCCTTGAGGTGCTTATATAAGAGTGGATAACCACAAAAAACTCAACATGAGAAATAGCAGTATAGACCTAACTATAATTAATGACATGTAAGTATATTCTTTTGAGAGCAAATCTTGGGATGTGAGAAACCTTAAGCTCTGCGTACTATATGTGACTTTTCACTTGCCAAGTACAAATTCCAATCACTACTTTGAACTTTCTTCTATAGATAAGTGTTCATCATGGCTCTCCTAACTACTTCACAAAGCTGTTTACAAAATCAAGGGAGAAGTATGTGGAAGTAACTGATAAACCATAATGTACTCACCACGTGGCATGTGACCCAAGCCTTGACTGACCACAGTGAACTCACCCATGCCAATCTCTTTCTCTTTTTGTTTCCTGCAGCAAGGACTAAAAATAGTCCACCATGCTGAGAAGACACTGTCCAGCTTCTGTAAGTGGCAGAAGAGCATCAATCCCAAGAGTGACCTCAACCCTGCCCACCATGATGTGGCTGTCCTTCTCACTAGGTACCTCAGAGGCCACATGGGAGCCAGGGGCAGGAAGTCCGAAGGGCTGGTGACTGAACAACTTGCTGAGTGTTCTCACTGGGGATGTTTGCAACCTTTGCTGCTCTTGGGCACCTGTAAAGGCAGCCACTGTAGTCTAGTCAGCTCCAAAATATCATACCAGTGATGGGTAGGTTAGTACATCTGCTGATGTGACAAAGCTCTCCTAGCTAATAAACAGTAGCTAATGGCAAAATGCAAGCCTCTTTCCCATTACAGTGAAGATCTTTAAAACTAGCTTCTCTATGTTGCTTTATAACCAACTAAGAAGTTTATTAGCATATCCTCACTACAGGCTCCTATAACTATTAACCGATGAGATGTCCAACACTTTATTTTTATTTTTTAAAGTTTGTTCTCCCATTTATAGCGTGCAATTACCTCTATAGAAATTTACCTGTTTAACTCACCTTTGATTAAAGCCGAAGATATGAAGGACAATCATCCACAAAGTAAGCAGATTACTTTGGTTATTATACTACATACCCTGTCCCTCTTTTACACCTCCCCCATTCAGATATGATTTTGTTCTGATCACAAATAAACCCTTCGATACTGATAGAACCCATCAAACTTTCTAAGACCCAGAGCTGTGAAAAGCCAGTGAACTTTTCTGATCAACTTAGGCTCTTGGAAGTCTATGTTCATTGATCCAGTAAATACTTATTGACCACCTACTATAATAACAAGGGATTGTTGTCATTTAATCAAAAGAAGGGCTTAATTCTCATCAGTTACCCTATTCAGACTCAGAGACATCCAGAGATCTAAGGATGCATGGTAAGGAGGCCTCTTGACCCTGGCCTTCAGCCACAGACATCCCAAGCTCCTGTGCTTACATTCCCACCAAAGACTACCCTTGGAACGTATTTTCAGTTAACCAAGTAGTAATTCTTTACTCCAAAGAATGATTCTGGTGGTTGAAGCTTCTGACCAGGCAAGGCAGCATTTGAACAGAGGCTTGTTAATATCCTTTATAAGCATCCTGTGTACTGGGAGGCTCCTGTCAAGAGGACAGATGATGAGGTCAAGTGTTCAAGGACAGCCTGTCCTTCACAGGGAGAGCAGATGACTATGGCCCTTTTACACAGAGGAAAGATTTCACGCCCTAAAGTTCCCAACCTCAGTGCTTTGCTATTGGTGGCTAGAACTATTGTTTGTTATGGGGGCTCTTCTGGGCATTCCAGCATATTTAGCATCTCTACCCCTTACTTATGAGCCATGGGTAGTAACTTCCTCCAAGTTATGACAAACCACCCTGCCTGTAAATATTCCCTTGGGATGTGATAAGGAGCAAAACTATGCCCCTCTCATGACTATATCCTAATTCACATTGAAAAACCACTGCTTCAGAACAAACTAAAAGCAGGCAGATCAGAGAGGGAAGACAGTGAGGGAGCTCTCACTGAGGGACTATTCTGACACCCACACTCACGGAGTCCTCGATAAAGCTTCACTCAGTAGAATGCCGATTTAACTTTGAACTCACTCCATGTATGTTCCACATGTGCAGAAACCCAAGGCATGATTTTCTCTAATATAATATCTCAAGTACAGCTTGGAGGTAGAGCATTTCCTATTAGAAGCTGGAGCTTTTTATTTGCAAAGCATATTCCTAAAAATTCTTTCATCACCTTCCTTTTCCCTCTTTAATACTAGGCACCTTGTAGGTAGTCCATAAATTATTTAGTTAAAAAAACATTTACTGGACATAAATACCATTTTTCCTTTTACAAAGCAAGTTTTAGTTTCAAAGGAGCTAAACTATTAGGACTGTCAATTGCCATGAAATGAAGAATGGTTTGACATGTCAAATTGAAATGGAAAAATATCATGCAACATATAAATCATTAGCAAACCTCTAGTGCAGCCAGCAAATTTACTATGTTTATTAAAGTCAGGTAAAAAGTTGGACAAAGTACACAACTAGAAGGTTCCTCGATGGGGAGAATCACAGGACAGGATGATTATAAAGGATAGGATCTTTCCAACAGGCTAGGCCAGTCAGATTTTACTCCCTAACAATGAGCCTCTGAAAAGACTGCTCAAGAAGGCTGAGCCTTTTACTGATGTACCTTCTCTGACAATTACTAAGCAACAAAAAAGCGCCAAATTTTACAACATCTAATTTTAAGAAATAGATACAAAACCTGTTTGCTCCACCACTTGGAAAGCCTGCATCTTCACTCCTGTACTGTTCTCATTGGGCCATCGTTCATCACATGACTCACCTCTGAATGAAGTAGCAATATTCCTCCCTCCACAAACATCAAGATATACTCTCAGTACCATCAAGTCGCTGTCCCTCCGTACACACTAACACACAAAAGTATACACTGCATATCTACAAGTAGAGATCACATTTGCAGTTTTTAAAATCTATCATCATTACTGGTATAGTGTTTGTATAAAGAATTTCTTAATGAGACCCAACTTCCATACCAAACTGAGAAAGTCAGTGGATTTGATGAATACCCATTCACTTTCCTCCAGCAGCTCCTTGAACATGTAGGCCTTCTTTATGAAATAATAAGGGTCAACTCTTATACCAGAAGTGGGAATGAATTTGATTTCTCCTCCTGCAGGAATCATGTAAATGACTGGGTTGTATAATTGAATCATCCAACACTAATCTCTGTAGCAGTTGCTACCAGTGAGAGCAAGACCCATTCCTACAGTACATGTACTGAGAGTGGGGCTCTGTCTCCTGACCTTTATTCCCATCCATTGCCACCTGGAAAACTAAAATTCATACACATTATCAAAATGGAGTCTTTCTTCTCCATGGCCCAAAGGACATGAAAGTCAGGAGACTATTTGTTGCTAGAAATGATACTCCCAAAACCCTACAAGATAAGGTTTGCAGATAACTAAAAGCTTAGACTATTCATTGGCATTTGTGCTAGTCAAGAGCTTTTGGCCAGGAGGTCTTCTTGTACTAAAAATAATCAAATGACTAATTAATCATTCTCTTGCCACTTGTGCCTGTGGCTGAAATTCTCCCTACCAGGGTATGTGTTGTATTTCAAAGCTTACTAGTGCTTTTTGAGATTCTAAGGGTCTTCCTTTACTTGCCCCCCAGGGCCAGGCATTTCTTTGTTATAAAACAAAATGGAGGTTAGATGACATGTTTGTGTGTGTATGTGTGTATGTGTGTGAGTGTGTGTGTGTTTGTGTGTGTGTGTACATGAGTGTGTCAGTACACAGAAGTACCCCCTCTCATGTGCAGGACTGTTGTACAGTAGGGCAGGATAGAAATTGATTTAAACTTTTGTAGGTTAATATGGCCAATTGCATCTTTCATGACTGAGTAAAACATTTCAGATGAGTTTTGAATTCAGATCTTAGGAAAAAGAAATAGTTTCCTCTTTGAAAGCCCCTTCGCCATTTAAAAGCTCAAATTAACTTCAGTTTTCAAACTGAAATCTTCTTTTGTGAGCTGAATTATGTAATTCAGCCTCCTGAGATTAACAGCAAAAGCAACTCAAAGAGAACTTTTGCATTTTCTCCAGGAGTGAAACTTATTAATTAAGAGATAAAATCAAAATAAGCTTAGTGAATTCAAAGTTGCTCCTTGTATTCATGTGGAGGTTTTTAAAAATTAGTTATAATTTACAGATGTGTACCTAGATATTTTTCTAGTAATTTTGTATGTATTTCTTTGGGTGCCTGAGCATCTCTGTCCTCTGCTTTCAGAAAAGACATCTGTGCGGGCGTCAACCGGCCCTGTGAGACCCTGGGCCTGTCTCATCTGTCAGGAATGTGCCAACCTCACCGGAGCTGTAACATCAATGAAGACTCAGGCCTTCCTCTGGCTTTCACCATTGCCCATGAGCTTGGACACAGGTAAAGGGCCAAGGAGGCTGAGGTCCACTCTTCATGTTCGGCATCATTATCAGTAGATAGGACACAAAGCTCCTTAAACTTAGAATCAGGAGATTCAGACTGAATGCAGTTGGAGGCTTACCCTCTAGAACTCACTGAATAGTTCCTCATATACTCATATGAACAATATTAAAAAGATGCAAACCTAACGTTTTAGAGTCCTACTGTGCTTTTTCAAAAGTCCTCTTAGTCTTGTCTTAAGAAATAGCTATTATAGCTGGGAACTGTAGCTCATGCCTGGAACCCTTGCTATTTAGGAGGTTGAGATCTGAGGACTGCAGTTTAAAGGTAGGCTGGGGAGGAAATGTCATGACTCTCATCTCCAATCAACTACCACAGAAACCCAGAAGTAGAACTGTGGCTCAAGTGGTAGAATGCTAACTTGGAGATACAAAAGCTCAAAGACAGTGCCCAGGCCTTGAGTTCAAGCTCAAGGAAGGAAGGAAGGGGAAGAGAAGGGAAGGGAAGGGAAGGGAAGAGAAGAGAACAAAAGAGAAGAGAAGAAAGGAAGGAACAAAGAAGGGATGGAAGGAAGGTGAGAGGGAGGGACAGAGGGAGGGAAAGAGAGGGAGGGATAAAAGGAAGGGAGGGAGGGCTACTATTGTTAGCCCCATTTGACCTGTATGTTTTATAGGAGAATGTTGAATAAACGAGAATTTGAAATTTGTTATAAACTTGGAAAGACTACTAAACAAACACTACTTATTAGAACATTCAAGTTGTCACAAAAATGTGTGAATTTGATTAGCTGAGTCACTTGAAGGCAGGTTTCAAAATGATGGAGAGAAGATATAATGAGGCATTAGGGGTTACCTTGGAGGGAAGAACTTAGATTATTTGTTAAGCTCCTGTGTCACTGCATTTGCTAATAACAAACAAGTGCATCCCACTAATTGTAAAGTCAGAGTCAGGAGCCCCATAAACAGCGAAACAGTACCCCTTGCTCGTGAGGCTCCCCTCAGAATCCCTGAAGTGGTTTTCTCCCTATAAAGAAGAAACAATGACATGGATGGGTGCATCATTTAATTGTTCAGCTAGAGTACAGCCAGGATGGGGAAGAACTATGGAGATGGGATTGGACCAGGCATGGCCTCTTCAGCCTGAGCTCACTTACCAATTTTTCCATAGAACATGAACTTTTCCAAACAATTTTCCCTGCAGACAAAGTCAGAGTTTTGCCTTTGGAATTGGAGAAAGTGAATTCTTCCTCTGGCTTTTCCATTTATAGATGTTGTGACCCTACATGATTTTCTTTATTTTGCCAAAACAGTTTAACCATCTGTGAAATGAATATCTTGAAGGAGATAATTTCTTAAACATGGTGATATATTAGCTTCCCCCCCAAAGTAGCCATAGAGATAAATGTGATATATTTTAATACTCTTAGTTGTCAAAAATTTGAAGCTAAGTAAAGGATACTTTCCCTTCTTTTCCTTCTTGTTTCTCTCTCTTTCTCTCTCTCTCTTCTCTCTGTCTCTGTCTATCTGTCTTTCTCTATCTCTTTCTCTAATGGTACCATGGTTAGAACCCAGGAGCTCATGCTTGATAGGGCAGCCATCTACCACTTGAGCCACACCTCCAGCCTGGCTTTTAGCTGGTTATTTGGAGATGTAGTCACAAAGACTTTTCTGCACAGGCTGGCTGGAGGCTCGATCTTTCTGATTTCAGCCTCCTGAGTAGCTAGGATTACAGGCATGAGAGGTTGGTATCTGGCTAGCTTTTTGTTTTATTTTGTTTGCAGTACTACAGATTGACCCCAAGCACTCACTCTTATCACTGAATGCAATATTCCAAGCCTTTCCTCCTGTTCAATATGTCATATAAAGAGGAATATGTGAGGCAGGTCCTCTAAAATCAACATTGTATCCATTTTAAGACATTCTCGTGACCATCTGGGCATGGATACAACACCTTTTGGAGAAATTCCACCTAAGTTTAAAAGCCAAGGGGCAAGCATGAGCTTCTTTACTAATTCATAAATTCATTCAATAAAGTTGAGAACCTTGTAGCAACATTATTTCAACACAAAGAATTAGACATGCAAAAAGCAAGTTTTATATACGTTTAATATATATTTATCACACGTGGTCGATTGTTCAACAGACCAGAGCTGACACAGTCTGATTTCATTTGATATTTCTAATTGAGAACATTAAACCAAACACTAGTTCAGAGCTAGCTGATGCATCTTGACGAGGAAACTACAGTAAGGATCCCCTGTCCTGTGTTTTGGTATTGTGGGTGCTATTCAGTTTAGTATTATGCAGGGGGGGAAAAGTGAGGCTCTAAGCCCTTTGTTTAAAACTTCCTTTCAAGTAAAAGAACTGAGTTATTAAGTAAAAGAATACTTCAGGCAAAACTAGAATGTCTATTTTTATTAGTCGCTTTAGAAGCAGACCCTAAGATAAGAATTTGAAAGCAGTTAGTTTATTGGGAAGACAAATTGAACATTAATAGGAAAGGAAGGTAGAGGAGACATTGAAGGAAAGGAACGCAATAATCAGTTTATTACCTCAGCTTCCACTGTTTGCCAGTGGACCTTAATCTGATGGGCAAACTCTGATCAAAACTTGTTTCTGAGTTATCTCACACAAGGAAGAAGACCTGAGTTATTTTATGTAACAATACCATTAAGTCATTTGTCATAGACGGTTGCCAGAGCCTGTTATTTATTCCTTCTCTCAACCAGATTGGTAAGCAAAGGCAGAGCCAACTTGGTTTCACAGAAAGTCCACCAGCAAAGAGATTCTGATATCAGCATTTGGAAGTCATCTGGTGTAAGCATGTTGGCAGGTACCCATGGCATCTGCTAGTACTTACTAGCCTTAACTGCACCCCTTATAAAATTTAGCCTCAGGAGCCAGGCGCTGGTGGCTCATGCCTGTAATCCTAGCTACTCAGAAGGCTGAGATCTGAGGATCGCGGTTCAAAGCCAGCCCAGGCAGGAAAGTCCATGAGACTCATCTCCAATAAACCACTCGAAAACTGGAAGTGGTGCTGTGGCTCAAGCAGTAGTGTGCTCGCCTTGAGCTGAAGAGTGCAGGGACAGTGCCCAAGCCCAGAGTTTAAGCCCCACGACTGACCAAAAAAAAAAAATTTAGCCTCAGGGAAGACAGAATAATACATAATTTTTCTTAGTCCTCCTTAATATAGTGAAGACTTCTAAACATATTAAAAAAATCAAGGCGAGTCTGAAAGCTGGAGGGAAAAACAGAGGCTGAAGAACACAGGTTGTAAAGAATGACATGGTGGCGAATTCCTAGCCTCTCTCTCTTCTCTGTCTCTGTCTCTCTATCTCTGCCTCTCTGTCTCTGTCTCTTTCTGTGTGTCTGTCTCTCTCTTTTTCTCTCTGTGTCTCTTTCTGTGTCTCTCTCTGTCTCTGTCTCTCTGTCTCTCTCTCTGTTTCATACATGCCATACTTGGAGTTGATGTAGCCAGAAATATGCAAGCAACACAGAAATCCCTAACTTAATCCTCTCAAAGACCTGCTCAGTGATACTGAAACCTGCTTAATTATTTAGCTCACTATTTCAGTGTATAATTTGCCAAAGGCATTCAAAGGATCGAACCAATGGAGATCAAGTAAAGCAGGTTAATCCAGCAACCCTGTGCATTATTCCTCATCATATATGGTGGGTGAGAAGTAACTCCCAACTGTTCTTTGGGTTCCTTCCCAAACTTAATGGAAGAAAGTTTCCCATCCCTATGACCCGTATGCTTTCCTTATCCCTCACCCTTAGTGCCAAAATGTTCCCCTGTGTCTACTGTACCCTATGTCAGTGGTCATAGATCAAAGGAACATAGGTTTAATAACCCTGCTTCTGTCTCATAAAATGAGATTGCTACTGTATACATCTATGGAATTATTACAGTGAACTACCTCATTAGTGTATGCATCTTGTGTGTGTGTGCATGCGTGTGTGCACGAGTGCTCACACACATGCATGTGTGCCTATGCCAGTTCTAGAGCTTGAATTCAGATCCTTGAGGTCTTGGCTTTTGCACTCACAGCTGGTGCTCTATCACTTGAACCACAACCCCAGTCCAGCCTTTGTGCTGGTTAACTGAAGATTGAACCTGGTTGGTTTTTCTTCGCCAACTGGCTTCTCTGGGTCTCAATTCCTGAATAGCTAGGATTACATGTATGACCCACTGGTGCCAAGCTCATATGCATCTTTTTAAAAGAGAGTACAGCTAGAGGGAAAATTTTTGCGAATTAAAAACTTGACATGAAACAAAACCAACCTGATATATTTTAAGTGTAGATTTAAAAACCATTCAGTATATGACACGGGGGGGGGGGGGGTAGGAGTAGCCACCACTAAAAGAAAACTATTATTCATGTAGAATTTTTTTTGAAAGTAAGGTTTGACTAACTACTAAAGAAGTGATTTTGTGGAGTCCTTCATGAACCCGGAGGGGTAGATTTGCAGAGCTAGGGCAAGCTTGCTCAGAAGGAGGCTTTCACTGAATTATTTTCTTTGCGGGTGGGTAGATAGAGCCTTGTAGATTAATTCTCTGACACTTTGGTGAATTTTGCATTCATGGTGCAACATGATTAGAATTTGAAAGCAAGTTGATAATACTATAATGGAGAAAATACAAGAAATTCTCTAAATCTCCTCCACGACTGTTCTCTGTAAGAGTTCTTAATGCTGATCGGATTTCATTAAAGTTAAATGTAAGCTCCTAGTCAGAGGTATTGAACTCACCATGAAGAACAAGAAGTTATGCTTTCTTATGCTGAGATTTGAACATCTGAGCCAATGTTACCATGTTGTAAGAGAGATCTTACAGGAGCCTCGGAGGGCATCATGGAGGGATTCTGGGTCAGCTTCTTTCCTAGGGAACCCCTAGCCATGGCCGAAGGTTAAACTCTTCAGGGTCTGAAGGGTTGCTAGCTTAGTCCAGCCTCCTACTGCTAGGGCACAGAGTTACACAAGGAGGAAGGCACTTTTGCTGCTAATAAGATGTCTGACTTTAGATACTCAGAGATTCCTTATCCCAATAGGAAGAATAACCTAGAAAATTATTTTGAAGCAACTGAAAGGATCTGTCATTTGTGAAGCCCTTGCTGATGATATAGTAGGCACCTCTCACTTAACGGCTTTCAAATATTCTTGCATTCGGACCTCATCCTAAGTACCTTGACATCTTCGACACTTTTAGGAGAGGAAAGCAGTCCTGCTAGTCAATGGCCTGTGTGTCACTGGAATTCAAATCCATACCATCATCCTCAAAAATGCCGCTCTCAGCCACTGAACTCTAAGGTCTCCCAACAATTCAGCTCTTAGAGACTTGTAGCAAGAAGAAATCCATCCTCTCAAAGCTTGAGGCCTTCGACAAAGTCTCCCTTAGCTTCTGCTTCTCCTGCTTGAAAGAGAAGAGGGAGGTTTTGTTCTTTAAGCTGTGGACACTGTAGAAAGACAAAACAGATGTCATGAGCCAGGATTTGCTCTTATGGCTTAGAGCCAGATTGAGAGGTCTCGGTTCTCAGCCATTAGATGTTTTTGGAATTAGTCATATGGTTGCAACTTTGAGGTAAAAGAATATTTCCAATATTTCCTTTCATTTTTGAGTTCAAAACTAGCTATGCCTATTCAACTCAAAAAATTGCACTCAGTAAACAGCTCTTTCTATATGAAACAGATTCCCTGGGGGTTATTGTAACCTGTAGACACAATTTGTCTCTCTGTTTAATCCCTGTCTGCTTGATATTTTTGTGTTTTCTTGTCAGCTTTGGCATCCAACATGATGGGAAAGACAATGACTGCGAACCTGTGGGAAGGCACCCGTACATCATGTCCCACCAGCTCCAGTACGACCCCACCCCGCTGACATGGTCCAAATGCAGCAAGGACTACATCACTCGATTTTTGGAGTAGGTGGCACTGTGTTTCATGACAACCACATTTGGGTTGTTTGTGTGTGTGACGGTACTAGAGCTTGAATTCAGGGTTTGGGTGCTGACCTTCAGATTAATTATTTATTTATTTATGTATTTATTTATGTATTGATTGATTGATTGATTGATTAAGGCTAGCACTCTACCACTTGAGCCATTGCTATTCTTCTGGCTTTTTGGTGCTTAAATCTCATGAACTTACTTACCCAGGCTGGCTTCAAACTGCTATCCTCAGATCTTAGCCTCCTGAGTAGCTAGGATTCCAAGTGCCCAGCTTATTTGGATCTTTCTAGATCAGGAGTTACGTTCACTTTACATCGGGAGGCTGATAATGTCTGGAAAAGATTTGATTTCGTCTCTCCAGGTCACAGTATGGGGGTGCTGTCCAAGGAGGGTTGGATCCCCGTTCTGTTTTATGGCCATAACATTTAGGAGGCTCTGCCCTCCAGCCACCACTAAGTGACTCCCCTGCCCTTCCCTGACTGCAAATGAAGTTCTCAGAGACTAAGAGAAAAGCCTAGGTTAACTCAAAAACATTCATTTAAACCTTATTGAGGGTCATGTGAATTTTCTAATTTCCCCACTGCTTATATCTCCTGCACAGCAATGAAGCTTATGGCATAGAATGGGATTTGCATTTTTTTGTTGTTGTTCTTGGTCATGGGGCTTGAACGCTGGGCCTGGGCACTGTCCCTCAGCTCTTCAGCTCAAAGCTCTACCTCTTGAGCCACAGTGCCACTTCCAGTTTTCTGGTGGTTTATTGGATATAAGAGTCTCATGTACTTTCCTGCCTGGGCTGGCTTTGAACCATGATCCTCACACCTCAGCCTCCTGAGTAGCTAGGATTACAGGTGTGAGCTACCAGCACCCAGCTTACATTTTTTTTTAACTCCCCTTTTGGGCCCAGAAATTTCTCTGGCCTATAAAAATAGAGGCATCTTAAAGAACAAAGAATAAACCAGAGGAATGGAAGTTTTTATTGAATGCAATGCATCTGAGGGAACTAATCAACCATTCTCATTTCTATGACCTTGTTTGCAGCCGAGGCTGGGGGTTTTGTCTCGATGACATCCCAAAAAAGAAAGGCTTGAAGTCCAAGGTCATTGCTCCTGGAGTGATCTATGATGTTCATCACCAATGCCAGCTCCAATATGGCCCCAATGCTACCTTCTGCCAGGAAGTAGAAGTAAGTGCTGGGTATCTTGGTGCTTTTGGTGAGTCTGTGCAAGAGGCTTACCGTGGCTAACATTTTGAAGGAACGGACAGAGAAATATTTGGAAATCTGGAGATCTAGAGATAGGAATGGGAGCTTTATATCAAGATATAAATGCACACGTTATGGTAGGAAGAAGGATTAAAGTGGAATCATTCACAGTTCTTCACCTGCCTGGGAGTTCTCTTGTTGCAATCCTTTGCTGCTAACTGGAGGTTTGAAATAGCACCATGCTGATGCTTTCAATTGTTCTCTTCCCTAAATTCCCATATGGCTAAAGAATACCACCAAATCCCAAAGTAGGAATAACATTTATCCTCAATGTAGAATGCTGGTAGATTGTTTTTCACCTGAAAATTCTTTATTTTTCAAGAGTTTGTGTTGAGTTCAAACTTCTACCCTGTGTAGTTTGGATTTTAAAAAAGTCATAGTATTAAGAATGTTTGGCTTGGTAATTTCATGGATGTCTGAGAAGAAAGGTAAAACCTCCTAACACTCATACACAGATGCACAAAATTTCAACAGATAAAGCTACCATTCAATTGAGTTCATGTCAAGACTAAGTTCATTTTTTTGACTAAATGAGGAGAGACAATAGTCTCTCAAGACATTTTGATAGTTGACTTTTAGATGGTAATAATAAACACAGGCTAGAACAATTGTATATAAAAAGGCAGAGAACATTATAACATATACGTAAACAGACAAGAAGAACAAATACAACTTCTAGAAATGAAAAATACAGTGATTTACTTTAAAAGTCAGTAACTTGAATAGATAGAGCACACTTGACACATCCTGAAGAGAAATTCAATTAACTAGAGTTTGTTATTCATCTCACTGGAAAATCTTTAGGTATGTATGCAATGGAGGAGGAAAAGATTTCAAACTCCACTTGAAAAAATTGAGAGCTAGAGATATAAAATGAAGTTGAGAACTGAAGGACTGGATAGGATGGCTCTCACCAATAATTGCAGGTTCCACGAAGAAAGAATTGAAAGGCAAACATTAAGACACAGAATTTTCAAAAATTATTTGAAATCTTACAATGGAAATGACATATTCAATGTTATATTACAATATTACTTATTACAATACAAGAATAGAATGAGAGAAGATGAGTAGACAAAAAGAAAAAGACTAAAAACTGATGGAAGTAATCAAAGGTGACATCTAAGAATCTGTTGATCTTCTCCTGTTCCAATAAGGATAGAAATAACAGAATATAAAGCTCAGTCTCTAGCAACCAAAACAAGCTGATGAGTTTGAGTAATAAGCAAATAATCTGACATTCTTTTTGGTTAGTTGGACTTGACAGGACTTGAGCACTGTCCCTAAGCTTTTGTGCTCAAGACTAGCACTCTACCACTTGAGCCACAGTACCACTTTCAGTTTCCTTGGTGGTGAATTGGAGATAAGAGTCTCACGGCATGAGCCACCGGCAGCCAGCGGAATCTGCCGATTTCTGATGGAATAGATTCTGTTTTTTTCAGCGAGCAGGCTCACATTATAATTACCCCCACTGTTTGTAATCAGGTTGTCTTCCAGCCAAAGTTTTCATTTGCCTTTGACAGCCCTGTCAGTTACATAACCAAGGGTAATGAGTACTGATTATTGTCTCATGTGCATGGAAATGACACTCTCAACTCTTAAGAAATGGATTTTATCTCATATTCATAAGATCTCAATGACCTATTGACATTTGTGTATGAATGGTAACAATGATGAAGTAGATCTGAGAGTTCTGTGTCTGATCTTCACCAATAACAGTAGCTTTTACTGAGTGTGTGAGTGAGCATGTGTATTGTACCACACATGCCTTTGGGCATGTATGTACAATCTCTATTTTTTCCCCAGAATGTTTGCCAAACACTGTGGTGCTCAGTGAAGGGCTTTTGTCGATCCAAACTGGATGCTACTGCAGACGGAACACGGTGCGGTGAGAAGAAGGTGATGGCCTATCAGGCTGAAGGAGAAAGGTGGGAGGGTGTGGGCCTGGAGTTGGCTTGGGGAGGGGAGGGGAGAAGAGAGCAGGCGGAGGAACTGAGCTGAGTGGAGTCAGATCAGTCACAGGGAAGGTTTCTGATTCCACTCTGCCTCATCAGCCCATAGTCAGCGAGAGAGGCAGAGCCCAGTTTGCACACCTCACCAGCAGAGCTGCTTCCCCCACTGCTTCCTAATGAACCTCAGCTAGGTTTCTGATGAACAACTTCTGCTAGGCCTGTTATCAACCCTTACCTGACATTTCCCCAACATAGTGAAGATTGGGAAATGACAAGCCCATGTCTATTTCTTTCCCAAAATGTCAGCTTTGAGCCACTTCACAATCTTTTCCACTATTGGACAGGGCTCGATTTCTTGAAGTTTTGCCCACTTTATTCAGGATGTTAGCTATCTCCAGACTTCCTGAAGTAGAGTAATGCATGCTGATCAACTATGCCATTTGGATAGGACATGGGCTTAGGAGTTTAATGGGCATCTTTATGTAACCAGAGTGTGATTTGCCCCATCCCTGAAATGATAGAAAATGATTAACATACACAATGACCTGAAATAATGAGAAAATATGAATCCAGCAGACAAAAATTTGTCCCATTTCTCCAGGAAACGTGGCCATTTCTAACAAACAACTTGCATATTCTTTTGTTTTTGTGTTTGTGCATAAACCCGCCTAAACTAATCATTGTAGAGAGGTCTCTTGAAGAAAAAGAGAGTAGATTTTTTTCAAATAACTTGAAAAACTAGAACTGAAAGAGAAAAAAAATTTTTTTTTGATATGAGAACTTCTTAACTACTAATGCTTTTGGAAATGAAGTGTACTTTTGAATGAGTGTTCTCATTACAAATATTATATTCCTATAGAAGCTATAAAGAACAACTCAGAGCCAGTCCTGAGCTCTTATAGTTCTCAAGATAAGGATTTTGTATCAGAAAGTAAATCAACAAGACAACAATGTTACTGAGTAAATCAGTTGCTCTGATTTCCATAGTAACATTTTCTTGAGCAAAGTGGTGGGTTGATCTATATTCTAGCAAAAATGCTGCCACAAAGTTTAGATAGCCCTTGTGCAATCGGTTACTAGGCACTATAACGTTTTCTCCCATTCCTGAAACCCTCTTGATTCTGAAATTCAAAATTCTTAGGGAAAACTTTGTATGAGTCCTCCATTATCCTGCATCTGACAGGGGACTGAAGGGAGTCTGCTTGGATGGGTTTAGACTTCCCAGGTTCTTGGCTCTGCTTGCCGGGGGGAACCTGACCCGTGTGTCTCCCACCTCTTCCCTTTGCAGTGGTGTATGGCTGGCAAGTGCATTACGGTGGGAAAGAAGCCAGAAAGCATCCCTGGAGGCTGGGGCCGCTGGAGTGCCTGGTCCCACTGCTCCAGGACCTGTGGGGCCGGAGCCCAGAGTGCAGAGCGGCTCTGCAACAACCCTGAGTAAGCCCAGCCCTGAACGTTGCCTTCCCTTCCTCCAGGTGATGAGGGGACATGTTGAGGAGCACAACCTGTGACTCCAAGCCTTCAGAGAGAAATTAAGAAAAAGCTTTAAAGAAACCCTTCCAATTTCACACAGTTCTGTTCTATGTATATAATTTCCTCTGTGTGTGTGTGTGTGTGTGTGTGTGTGTGTGTGTGTGTGTGTGTGTGTGTGTATTCTCAAGAAAAAAAAAGGACCAGAAAGTTCACAGAGGGTGAAAAAAAATGTGCATCTTTTGGGGTTTTACATTGTACATTTGGGCTGTGCAATGAATTCTTAATAACACTTAGATAAGTAAGCTGACTCTATTGTTTTGGGGAAACACTGAACATTTCTTTTAAATGTGCAAGTCTCAGGGGAATTCTATGGTTCAATTCTTCTAGATAACTCCACTCTATCAGAAAGAGATTAATTGCATCCAATTTTGTTGATTAGATGGTAGTCATTTTTCAATCATAATGAACGTACAATTCTATAAAAATAGTATTCTTCCCTTAGGTCACTAGTTTAATAAAAATCTAAGCACAGTTTTTAAAGGTAATTATTCTTAATGTCTAGAAAAAAATTTCTTAGGTTTTAAAAAGTCTTAACAAAAAGATTTTTAACCTTCGAATTTCACAGTAAAATATGAGATCCTGTAGAAATTACTTCTCAAGTAGTGAATAGATTTGAGAAGGAAAATTATATAATTATTTTCATCATTTTCTGGAAGATTGAAGATGAAAAAGATGCACAAGCTATCAAAAAACAAGCAACTACCAAGGAACTGGTGGGTCATACCATAATCCTAGCTACTTAGGAGACTCAGACCAGGTGAGGACCAGGGTTTGAAACCACCCTGGGCAGAAAAGTTTATGAGACTCTTGTCTCTTTAATCAGGAAAAAATAAAACCCAAAAAGCCAGAAACGGAGGTGTGGCTTAAGTGGTAGATCACTAGCCTTTATAGAAAAATTCAAGCCCCAGAATTCTTTCTCTCTGTCTCTCTGTCTCTCTCTCTCTCTGTCTCTGTCTCTGTCTCTATTTCTCTCTCTCTCTCTCTCTCTCACACACACACACACACACATGCATGCATATACACACACATGCATGCATACACACACATACAAAGGAAACTATACATAGAACTAAAATGTATGAAATTGGAAGAATTTCTTTAAAAGGTGATTTTTTTTAATTTGTGGGAGTGTGTTGAAACAGCATTTCATCATGTAGGCAAAACTGGCCTTGAACTCATAATCCTTCTACTTCAGTTGCTCAAGTTTAAGAATTATAGGCATTCACCATAAATGGTAAGAGACATGGTTTGGTAAGAAACAAGCTTGGCCAAATGTGGCAGATTTCCTCTGTGTGTGTGTGTGTGTGTGTGTGTGTGTGTGTGTGTGTGTGTGTGTGTGTGTGCGCACGCACGTACGCTGGTACTTTGGCTTGCTCTCCCTCAGCTTCTTGCTCAAAGCTGGCACTCCACTACTTGATCCACACCTCCACTTCTGCCTTTTGTTGGCTTATCAAAGATAGTGTTATGGCTGGCTTTGAACCCTGATCCTCAGATCTCACCTTTCTGAGTAACTATAATTATAGACGTGAGCCACCAACACTGGCTTAGGCAAGGTGTTGGCTTTTCAGGAAACTAAAAGAACACCCTCTCTGTTTCCTTTGCAGACCAAAGTTTGGAGGGAAATACTGTACTGGAGAAAGAAAACGCTATCGCCTGTGCAATGTCCACCCCTGTCGCACAGATTCACCAACATTTCGGCAGATGCAGTGCAGTGAATTTGACACTGTTCCCTACAAGAATGAATTCTATCGTTGGTTTCCTGTTTTTAATTCAGGTAAGGAGCTGAAAAAGGATATCTCTGATCTAGAGCCATATTTGTGTGTGTGTGTGTGAGTGTGTGTGTGTGTGTGTGTGTGTGTGTGTGTGTGTGTTTATGCCAGTGTATCTGTGCTGTCCTTTCAAAGGTCCACAGAAAGAATTTTACACATTTTAGACAGAATGCTGACTTGGTCTAGGTGATAAGTAAATGTTGAAGACTAAATGTGTCCAGTTCTTCCTTGAGGACAACGTGGGCCAAACAAGGTGACTCATTTCCTGACAGATGAGCTGGTTGGCTGGTCAGAATTCATACTTTCTGCCTAGTTCAGGGACACATGGAACTGGCTGATTTCAGTAGAAATTCAGAGCAGATGGTCATGGTGTGTTTGGACTCAAAGAAAGCAGCTGATGATTCTTAAGTATGAGTAGCCTTTCTGTAAAAGAAGACAACAGAAAGAATTCAAGAGTCTAAAATGTGCCTATAAATCTACAAGTAAACACCCTGGGTGGTAAGCAAGGGATTACAAATGAATTAACTAAAATGCAATAGACTCTATGAAGAGAGCAAATATTGTAATTCTTTAAAAAGCCTAAATCAAAGCACAACAAAATAAGTACCAGAAAATAGGTTCTTTCAAGAGGGGAAGATGGAAGCAAGGTAGAAGATTAGAAGTATAAAGGGGGAAGGGGGAAGAATATAGGCAAGAATGCATTGTATATACCACAGAATTGAGAATTATAAGGGAAGGATTTGGTTAAAAAGGGGGGAGGGGTGAAGATGTTGAAGTAATAACACAAATCAAAATGCATTGTATACATAAACGGCTCTGTTAAATTGCAAAAAGTTCACTATGTAGCCTAAAATTAAGGTAAGTGAGGGAAGGGTGGGTTGGGAGGGGTGGGTGAGAGTGTTGAAAGGAGTGACATTGATCAAGGTACACTGTATTCATAAACCGCTTCAGCAAATGGTAACTCTTTCCAACACTTCTTAAAGATAATAAAAACATTCAAAAAGGAAATGAATAAGCCAGGCGCCGGTGGCTCATGTGTGTAATCCTAGCTACTCAGAAGGTTGAGATCTGAGTATCAAAGCCAGGCGGGGGAGGCAAGTCCATGAGATTCTTATCAAATTAATCACAGAAAAGCCAAAAGTGGTGCTATAGCTCAAGTGGTAGAGTGCTAGCCTTGAGCAAAAGGAACATAGAGACAGAACCCAGGCCCAGAGTTCAAGGCCCAGGACCAGTACAAAAGAGAAAGGAAAGAAAGAAAGAAAGGAAGGAAGGAAGGAAGGAAGGGAGGGAAGGAAAGGAAGGAAGGATAGAGAGAGGAAGAAAGAAAAGAAAGAAAGCTAGAAAGATATAAACAATACAATCTGAAGGATGCATGTCAGGGTATGGGACATAACTTAGAGAAGATAGTAACACCTCAGGCAATATTCCCTTGTCAGAACCAGTTACATATTTTGTCCTGAACATGAAGAGTAGTGATCATTAGTTGGGAAGTGACATAAAAAATCATCTGTGCTATTTGTTATTATCTCAGCGAGGAATGAAACAAGAAAGATTTTCTTAAGTGAAGGAAATGCAAGAAAAATAATTCTTAAAAGATAATAAAAAGAGCGGTTCCGGGAAGATGGCGGAGGAGAAGCTGGAATCTGAACAAGCTCTTGCATAGAAAACAGTTTCAGAGTTCCAGTGAACAGTCCCAAGCCAGAGAATCACACCAAGTGTGCCATCACAGGACAGAGAGTTAGTCAAGAGAGGGGAAGCCAAGCAGACACATCTGAGCGCCTGCCAGCAGCTGCTGCTGCGGGGGCAGGGTCGCGGCAGCGACCACCGCCGCCGCGGGGGCACACCTGAGACACAGTCCGGGAAGAAGGAGCCAGACGCAGCGGACGAGCGGATTCTACTCAACACCAGCAAGAACCGACAAGGAGCCAACAACTTCATCCTGCACTTTGCAGACCAGAGACGACCCAGGATCCAAGACTCAGCGTGAGTAGAAGCCCCACTTCCTCACTCCTTCTCTGGGAGCAGAGGAGGGAAGGCCACCCCTCCCCCCCCAGCACCGGTGATCTCCATCTTGGATACCGACAAAGCTCGGAGGAGCGGCTAGCTCCAGCTCAGGCCTTGGAATAAAACGAGTCATTTAGCAGGTCACAAGAACTTAATGGCGAAGTGACCTCACAGACTCAGTTCCATCCAGGGAAAAGTCACCCAGCTCAGGCGCCAGCCATTGGAGTGGCTCTCCTCACCGGGTAACCAGAGCCAGAGGCTGCCCCTCCCTCTAGCAGCCACCACAATCAATTGAAAAACAGAAACCCTGAGAATGGCTCCAGGCTGGGCTCTGTGAGTTTTTTTCACAAAATAGCCCTAGGGAAAAGCTACTGTTTGTAGAAAGGCCTCAACTCTACTCAGAACCTAGCCTCATCACTGCATCCCCCTCTTTTGTGATTCTCAAAGCAGATCACCCTCCCAGTAAACTAACCTGGGAGGGGGATCTCAAAATCTTGGGTAAAGCAGAGCATTTTTCTGCCTGTTCCAACAAACTGACTTAAGAAACCAATCAAGCCACAGGACCTCAAGCTGACCAGAGACTCCAACCAGACTCTGGTTACAGACAAAAGGGAGATACAGGACTCTTCCCACCCCTCCCAAAAAAAAAAAAAAAATCAAAGAACTTTTTTTTTTTCTTCTTCTTCTTCTTTTCTTTTTTCTTTTTTTGTTTTGTTTTTTTTTTTCGTCTTATGTTACCTTATATATATAAAAAATTTTTTTTTTGCTTTTCTAAAACTTTTATTAATCTTTAATTTTTGCCTCTTCTGAAAAAATAATTGTTTTCCATTAACTTTTTTTTTTTCTTTCTCCTCTTATAATTTTTATTTTAGGAATACGTGAATGTGTGTTTTCCTTTCTTTTCTTGTCTTCTTTCTCTTTTTCTTTCATTCTTAATTATCTTTTTGTTTTTTGTCTTGCTCTACTGAATTTCTGATCTTTTCTTCTCACTCTCCTATCCTTTCCATCTTTTCCTCTTTGTTCTTCTTTATATGACTTAACTCTTGTCCTGCACATCCTCAGATAAACCCGTAGTTAACCAGTAGACCCTATCCCCCATTGTGTACACACTTAATCCACAAACTTATTACTCAATTCAAAACCTCTGAGACTTAAATTCATTAATAGCAGTACTACCTCTTTATACCTATATAATATTTTGAGCATTTTTTTAAAGTTTTTCACATCTCCTCTATGTCCCTCCCTTTCTCTCAACATATTCATATTCCTCTATAAATAGATGGCCCATTAATCTCTAAAATAACATTAATTTTTATGTTTCTTTTTTTTTCTGGTCTCTTTTCATTCCCCTTTCCCTTTCTTCTTTTTCTCTCTCTACTTGCATCCTACCCAACCTATTTCCTGCATTGTGATTAGGACATAGTTAACTCTCCCTGTGCCTCCCCACACCAATCTATTCCTATTTTTTACCCACATCTCTCCCTAACCCCAATAATTTCTGGTTTTCCAAATTCTTCTCTGCGGTTCGAAGCCCTTTAACATATAGTTGTTTGATGTCGAATAGATGTATCTGTTGAACTAGATTGTATCTGTAGACTATTGACTGTACAAATGCAAACTTTGGTTGATGGTTGCCTTAAGATAGTGTTCTAGCACAAAACTGGTGCTATCTTCATCTCAAATGGGCAGAGTAAGCCGGAAAAACACAAGAAAAATGGCAAATTCGGGTATCTCAATTCCCAATCTTGATAATCAGGGGTTAGAAGAGATAATGAATAATCCAGAAGAGAGTTCCCAAACAGCTCTACAAACACTGGTGCCAAACATGATAAATGAAAAGTTTGACAACGTGCAAAGGACTCTGTATGAGCGTGATAGGGAGAGAGAGGAGGCATCCCAGAAGTTTATACAGGAATATCATAAGCGTGAGGAAGCTATTCAAAAACTGATACAGGATTTGCATGAACAACTTGAGAATACTCAAACAGAAAGGGAGGAATGGCGTGAGCAGGCTGAGAACACTCAAAGAGATCTGCAGGAATCCCACGAACGGGAGGAAGCTAATCAAAGAGTAATACAGGAATTGAGAGACCAGGTAGAGAACACACAAAGATCACTAAAGGCATTCATGGAATCCATTAACAAAGAGCTGAAGGAAGTCAGGGAGACCACAAAGGGAATGCTGAATGGAACCCAACAGAAGGAATGGGAGCCCAAAGAAACCATAACCAATCAACTAAGCGATTTGAGGACAAACACTGAACACCAAATTAAGGAAGTAAAGAAATTCATACAAGACCTAAAACAGAGCTTCAACAAAGAACTTGAAGCCATCAAAGCTGACCAACTAGAAGGAAAAGAGATAAAAAACAAAGTAGAGAGTCTTGACAGCAGGTTAGACCATGCAGAAGATCGAATCTCAGGGATTGAAGACAGCCTAGATATTATAGAGAAAGAACATACAACCATCCAAGACAAGTCCAAGAAATATGATAGATCTATCCAACACCTGGAAGACACCATCAGAAGGCCTAATCTAAGGATAATGGGTGTAGAGGAGCACCTAGAAACAGAAGTTAATGGTCTAGGAAATTTGTTTAACAGGATCCTAGCAGAGAACTTCCCAAACATGCAAAAAGATAGGCCTGTCCAGATACAAGAAGCCTTTAGAACCCCAAATAGACCAGACCAGAATAGGACATCCCACCGCCACATTATAATCCACACAGGATCAACTCAGAACAAGGAAAAGATCCTTAAAGCTGTCAGAGAGAAAAGGGTAATCACTTATAAAGGGAAACCAATTAGAATCACCTCAGATTTCTCAGCAGAGACAATCAAAGCAAGAAGAGCCTGGAATGATGTATGCCATGCCCTAAAAACAAACAACTATCAACCAAGAATACTGTACCCAGCTAAACTCTCCTTCATAACTGAAGGCCAAATAAAAACCTTCCATAGCAAAGAAAAATTGAAACAATACATCTCCACCAAACCAGCC